CTAAGGGAAAACTCATTTGTGACAGAAAGGTCTCTTTGTATAACCGAGTATGGGGCTATCAAACATTGTAATTAATCTTCCATAACAAGTGGAAAGTGAGGCATATTGCCTCGACTACGAACTGGGGCAGCTACACATTTTGCAGGAACAAGTAGAAAATAAACATAAAAATCATTGCTAAAATTATTAACAATTTCAAATGGTGCCCAGATATTAGTAAACAAAGCACAAGGCCACTGTGAGTTCAGAGTATTGTTAGTTTCGTAGGACATTCATCTCTGAAAAAGATCTGCTTAACAGTTAGCATAATTTATAACGGGCATATTTGTACTTCATATTTCTAAAATGGGACAAAAGGAACAAAAATTCTCAAGTGTGGATATTTTGTTTTGGTTGTAATAGGAACATTGATAGGTGTTGAAAACAACTTCCCTAACTGAGGTCTGCAGTATTGATTATGAAACAAAACAAAACAAAACAAAAAGAAAGGCATGGTTATTAAGATCAATGGAAAAGCTCTTGGTACATTTCCCAATGCTACAAAAACTAAAAATCCAAGCTCTCTTCAGTCAATATTTGCAATTATGTGCTTCTGTCTCTGACTTCTTTTGGCTTAAATAGGTTATTCCCCCATCATTAGTGCACAGCAGAATATTTCATTATAAAAAATAAAAAGTTTAGGTCGTTTAACGTTTCTAACATTTTTGTTCATTTGACAAACAATTATTCTTATGTTAATTTTGCAATGATTTTACTGTATTTACTGACTGAAATGATCCAATTTAGCTGATCATGGGTTCAATTTCATCTAAAACTGGTAGGAAAAAGTTTTGGAAGTTTTCATATTTTGCTATTAATAATGACTGTGGTCACTTTAGTAATCAAAATTTAAAAATGGTACAGAAAGCAAAGTTAAATTGGACTTTTGCTTGTCTAATTAATCAGTAATAGGAATAGTAAAGATAATAAGAGTAGTAAAGTCTCATTTTCAATTGTAGTACTTTATCTTTTTGAGGTTTGTTTAAGAGTTTAAGCAGCGTAGTCTGCATTGATTTGCCTCCCAGTTTCTGAAAAAATTAACATGAAAAGAAATAGTAAATAAATCAACATGTTACTTTCAGTGTCACGATGAATACAGTTAGCATCAATCTTTTGACTCGTCAATGTACTTAGCTAAAATTCTTAAAGATGCAAATAATCCTATTGATGGATTTTCATATGGTTTTCCATAACTTTGGCTTAGAGAAAGGAAAGTGCTTTCAGGTAAATGTCATCAAGTTTCTAGAACTGCTTTGGAAGAAATTCCCTGGAACCGGAGCTATGGAATCAAAACTTTTCTAAGTTCCACTCATTTATTCTCAATTAATTTTTATTAACAGCAATCTTATTGCTATTTCTACTCATAGTGAAGAACTATAACAAGATTAAATATTACATCAATATAATATTGTAATTTAATTTCCTAAATTCAAGATATGTCAACATCATAAATTAAGAAGAGATTTCTTCCTTTCAATAAATTACTGTTATTCTAATGAGTTTTTCCCAGTATATTTCTCCTAATCTAAAATTAGCCTCAATTCTATAAACCTTGTTAGGTATAATGGAGAATATTTTATTAAAATTATTAAAAATTATTTTTCCAACTTTAAAGTCCATAATAGTAAACAAATTTGATAGTTTATTAAAAATGTCAGGATTTTGGTACCAAATTACTTCAACTCTTGTCTACAGGGACATCACAATTTAGTAATACTTTCATAAGAACTTGAGTTGATTTTGCTAAAAATAAATATGAGTATAATATCCTAGTCTAAATTCTGAAATTGTCTTTCAGAACCCTTTTCTTTTGGAGTACATGCCTTGTATTATTCCCTTTCTCAAATATAAACAGAAGATATGATAGTATGTTGAAATTATGGATTGTTGATAGTATTATTTTACCAGGGAGATGGTGATGGACGATCACTGTCATAAGTATCTTATGCACTCTGAGTTGTGGAAGTCAGATTCTTCTAGGCTGGCCTCAAAATAGAACACTTCCATGCTTGGACTGCCTGTGGAGGACAAGAGGCAAGCAAGGACAAATCACTTCTATGGGTAGATGGGGGTTCTTGGCTCCCTTGAAATATGAAGAAAACTAGGACCACAATCTTACAGACATCATAGTAGCATCCTGTAATTGTGTCTCCTTGTGACCTTGGGAGAAGCCCTCAAAATTCAGACCTACCACAAAGCCAATAACTACTTGATAGCTTGTGGGTACTTCTTGACTGAATCTTATGAGCAAAACACTCTGCTTTGGCCAACTACAGAAACTTTGGAGATATAAGTTAATGTAATTCAAAGTCACTAAGTCCTTGAAAGTGTGTTATACAGCTATACAGGGTTATAAAAACACAGAAAATTCATGTTTACTTTCTACCATCATTGTACATAAAATGTGTTTCCTACAGAATTCATCATTAAGTTAAATTCATGTGTTCACACCCTTGTTTCTTTGCATGAAGAATTGTAATCATTTCCTTTTGTTTTCATCACATACTTCCAAATTTGAAGAAAATTTTAGTATAAATTCATTTAATTCCTATAGTCCAAGATTATTCTAAGGGTGATTTGGTACAAGAAGAACATAAGTAATTCCAAGAAGACAAGTTATTTTATGCCTCCATAAGTAGTTTAAATAAATACTAAAATCATTCATTAAATAAATGTAAAACAAAGCTTATCAGCATACATCAAAAATAAATAAAGTAAAATATTAGCTAAGAAATAAAATATGTATTTAACATTTCATTTAGAGAAAATTTAATGAGAATGAAAATATTAAAATATATAAGGAAACATCAATAGAAAACAGGATTAATTGTACTGAAAATCAAGTGTAAATGAGAGACTGATCAAAATGGCATTGAATTCTCAAAGGCCACTACAATTTTGTAGCCAAATGGAATGATGAGATATAAATTTGCAATTTGTAAGATGAAACCCTTCTCACTGATCTACTCAATTTTAATGTTAGAAAGAAATAGTTCAATGTTTCTTATATTTCTCTTTCTGAAATACTTATCCGTACCCTGTGATACATAGCTGATGTTGAAGAAAAGTCTGAAACACTGTTCTCTTGAAAGATATTGAAGCCGTGTTTTATTTGTTCCCTCCCCCCTCTTTATCTCCCATGCTTGTACTGTCTGGTTTGTCTTTCTCGCATTCTTCCTTCTGGATATTTGAAAAATTTCGGTCAGACTTTCTACTGATTCGATATTAAGAAATTCTATTTGTTGTCAGTTATATTACAACATTTAAATGGTGGCTACATGGTAGTGTAACCTTTCTATATTCCAAAATTTACAAGAAAATATACTTTGATCATATTCATGATCTTTCCCTTACAGATGATTTAACTTGAAAGTAGCTGCATCAATTATAATTGGAAAAAAATGTATGCTTGTATGCAAGCAATAAAACCATCCAAAAATAGGACTTTTGGCTGATTCTTCTGTAAAGATAGTAAGTGACTTGGACTTGTGAAAGTTTTCATTTTCTGTCTCTATATCCAAACACCTAAGGCCAATTGGACAATGATTTTATAAGATAGCTAACAATGTAAAGGAAGTTTGGGAAAATATTTGTCATTTTAAAACTTAGCTTTTGCAATCCAACCTGTGCATATATATAAATAATTGAATGATAGTCTATACATATTGGGATTAAAATAAAGCCACCATCACTAATTATAGAAGGTAAAGAAACTGTCTGCATTTATAATGTTTAAATCTGCATATTTTTCCTATTAAATAAAAAAGAAAAAGGTGAACATCTTTCATCAGTTTAGCCAAATGCTGAACACATTCAACTTGTATCTTATCCACTTAAGAAAGTTTGCCCAGTTTAGTAAATATTACCCTCATGTAACTGTAAAGTCAAATATCATTCTTTATGCTTTTCTTCTCTAACATCACACTCCCAATGTCTTTAGAATTTTCTCCAAGCCTGTCCAGACTCAGTCCAATTCCCTCAGCCTCAACAGTCTCCAGCATACTTGAAATCATCAGATTACTTTATTGGAAAATGTGAATTTCTGTTTGGTCATCATATTTCCATACTGATTGTATCCATTCCATTCCATAGATTTAGCATGTGTGAACTGTTAAAATTTATCACATATGCATGGTCTCTTTTTAATACATTTTGATCACAGAGTATGATCCAAGCCCTTAAAATGATTTAATGAACCTTATACAACTCTGCTTTGACTGATCTTTGCTGAATTTTCCTTTCTTCTTTGAACTATTTTAACACATTTGGTATAATGCTGCATGTACCTGAAGAAAATGAGAGACACAATCAGTGATGCAAATTTATGCTTTGGAGTTACGTTGGTACCGCCTTTGCACATCCTAATCAATTCACCAGCTCCTGAAATCTTGACTTTCCTTTCAGAAGAAAATAAATGCCTACTTATAATTCCTGGCAAATTAAATAGAGTAAAATAAAATGGAGGGCAATTTGTCAAAGAAGGTATACAAATAGTTAATAAATGAAATTGTTCTCAAACACCTTAAATATTAGAAATATTTATTAATACATGAAGAACACTTTGAATTGAAATATGGTAAAAACTCCAAAAATCAATTTGTTTGTTCTATTTGGAGGGTGTTGGGGACAGGATTAGATATCTCCTTCATTGCTATGGAGATGTTTTAAACACACACACAAATATAATCAGTGGAGCATTTTTAACAATAGTAAATCTATCCAAAAATTAGATGTTATTCAAAAGAGGAATAATCACACATATTATGCTATATTCACAAAGTTTCATTCTAGGTAGTTGCTGGATGCGGAAAAAAAAGTTGTTTTTCAACCTAAACAGTTCTAGAATAATTTTAGAAGAATAAGGCGAACAGCAAGCAATATACTGTAATATAATTAATTGTTCTTTAGTAATACACCATGTAAAACCTCTATGTGAAAACGGATTAATATTTTTCATAGAAGATATTCCTTTCAAAGGAAGGTATAACTACACAGATAAATAACATAGACCTGAGTCGGGAAGGTGTTAGTGACAGTGTATAGCAATTTACTTCGTAGAACGAAAATGCCATGGAAAGTTCACTGTACCTGTTCTTTCAGCATCTTTGGTCTATCTTTGTCTTAAAGGATAGCAAGAAGGTCACACATTTGGGTGATAGTGCCTTTTTAAATGCCTGTCTTTTTGTGAAGACCCATAGTGTAAACCTTGTTCAGAACAAAATGCTCATCCAGCCAACCCAATTCTGGAGGTGTATGTCATTTTTATTGCCTTCTTGTAACTCAGTGATCCATCCCCTTATGGTTGAGTTAGTATTGAGTTCCCAGTGTCCTTTTATTGCCTTCTTTGGCCCCCTGGTTAGAATGACAGAATGCAGAGTTTCACCCAGGTCTGTGGGCTAAAGTACTTACCTGTGGCAGCTACAGCACGATATTCTCAGGAAACTATGCTTCCCTCTTGTTTACAAAGAACAAATTTCCAGATCCCAAATGCATCCCTGAAAGCCTGAGTAGGACCAATCCTTTATATGCTGTGCTTTTCCTGTACATATAAAGAGATAAAAAAGTTTGACTTATAAATTAATCACAGAGGTCATAACAATAGCTAATTATGAAAGAAAAATTCTGATGATATATTGACACTTATGTTACATGAATAATCCCACTTTGTGTCTCTTTTTTATTTTAGAAAAACAAGGGTTGCTTGAACACAAGCAATGTGATGTTGAAGTATTCAGTCTGATATTCATGTAGCATAATAATAAGTGACTCATAGGTGCCCTATATACAATGTAGAAGCAGAGTCCGAGTGATGTTTCACACGTCAGGCAGGGTATGGCAAGGCAAGCAAAGCTTATGCTACCCAGAATGATGCACAATTTAAAATTTATAGGTTATTTCTGGAGTTTTTCTATGTAATATGATTGTATCATAGTTAATTGGCGGACTGAAACCACACAAAGCAAAACCATATACAAAGGAGCTAATCAGCAAAAACTTTGCCAATCTCCCTTAACAACAGATACAGGCTAATGGTATCCATTTGAAATTTTGCCCAATTAAGTGACATTGATTAAATATGACATAATTGTTATGTGCTGTGTCAAGGAATACCTGTTTGTCTATTCTTCCATGACTACATAAAAAATTATTATCCAGACATCTTTTGTAGAACCCTTATAATTAATCAACTAGGGCTCATACTCTAATTTTCTTTATCTTTCATCATCTCTAATAGCATTGTTAATAACTAAATGTTCTGATCTTTCTCTTGCTTCAAACCCCATGCTCATAAGAACTTACTAAATTTAAGAATCCTTTCCTATTAGTCGAGATCTAATAGAGGACAGTCACACAAAATATTGGCCCCGATTGCCTTCCTTGTCCTCAGTGTAATTTCCCTTCAGATTCTGTCATGATGAACTAATCCTTCCTTTATGTTCTCATCTTCTCAAATTACAGATTGATTTCTTCCAAGTGAATTAAGTCTCTTCACACTTATATATATGAAAAATGTGGTAACAGTAAAATGATACATTCTTGAAGGCCAAAAGTCTACAGATGGCATTGTTTTTCCCTTGAATCCTACTATTACTTCTCAGCATACTTTTAACTGGTCATGTAAGCGTCATCCCGGAATGCTAGAGCAGGAATTGAGAGGAAAATGGCCAAATACAATATGAAATGATGGCATGCGTATAACGGTGCTCAACACTACCTTCAGGGAGGGGCCTATGAGAATACAGGGGAGCTGTTGGAAAGGAAACATGTAATCTGATTCATAGATAAATTATTTTTTAGTTGGCCTTAGCCCTGGGTATATTAATGATAGATAAAACAAATTTAGTATAATTTTATTGCTTGAGTCAATTTTGCTTCCAGGCAATATGGCTACCCAACAAAAGCATTTGTTTCCAAGCAACATTGTAATGATTTGTATTACATGAGATTCTTTCTTCATGCATTGAATTCCAAAATAAAACTTCATGGAAAGTATAATTCTCCTATTTTTTGACTCTTACTAATTCATTCTGGTTATAGTTAATGCCCATTTCCATTACCAGTGGAAATTGGAAAATACATAGCAGTCTTTTCTTAAAAACTGAACTACTTGGCAATTTTGTGTCCTGTAGCATAGAAAGGCAGTGTTAACTGAAAGTTACAAACTAAGTTTCAGAAACAGCATCACTTAAATTCTCTAATATATTATGAAAATATTGTACATAAAGTGTTCAGGGAAATACTCAGTACTCAGTAAAGGTTTTTTTTTTTTTACAGTACCAATATAAACACTTTTCTAATTTTTACTTAGTAATGTATTTGATTGTTCCAGTCCCAACCTTTAAGTACTCTTGTTGATGTTACATTCTACATCTAATTCAGTGAGTAAAATAAGACTTTCACAAGACTTTCAATAGAAAGAAATCTATTCATCTACCAAGTGAATCATATTTACTCCTTATGACACTCTAATAAGAAGAACAGCAATGACAAAGTAAAAGTACATTCTATTTAATACCAGGGAGGAAGACAGAATACATTACTAGTTCTAAAAAGATGCAAGAATTATATATTTAATGAGAGAAAGGTCTAATTTTAAGGAAAACATGATTATACTGACAAAATAGTTTCAGTCCTAGTGCTGTGGTGCACTATTCAATAGATTGTGACAATTTAACCTTAAGAAGGAAGGAAATTATTAATTTCTTTTTAAATTAAATCTATTGGTACATTTTAAGTATACAGCACAGTTACATTCATCATTGGAATCTTGTACCTTTACATCTTGGCTCTTATTTTTTATTTTATATCTTTTATTTTATATCTTGGCTCTTATTTTTCTCAATTCTCCAGCCCTCCCTTCACCCCTTCCACCCTTCCCTGTTTAAAAAGACATTGTTCCCATGATTTTCCCTTTCACATACTTTTTTCTTTTCCCTTTTTCCCTTTCCCCTACTATTCCCACTTCCCCTACTCTTTTAGACTTTTGCTCCCTATTACAATATCAATTATATGTTTTAGTCATTATTTACACTTTTAGTTTTTCACACCAGATAAACTATTCAGGATTTACACATGTGTCTTATTAATTTCACTTAAGAGTGAGGCCTCAATGTGCATCCACTTATCTATAAATGTCTCTAGTTTCTCATTCTATATGGCTGAGTAGTACTCCATTTATTAAAAGAAAAAAAATCACACACACACACACACACACACACACACACACACATCTTCTTTATCCAGTCTCCAGTTGAGCTGTTACAATGTAACTATTACACACTGCCACTATTAACATGGGTAAGTAAATATTGCTGCGGTATGATTCTTTTAATTCTTTTGGGAAGATACCCAGCAGAGGGTGGCTGGGTCAAATGGGACTTTTAATTCTAGTTCTTTGAGGTATCTCCATATTGATTTCCATAGTGGCTGCACCAGTCTGCACTCCCACCAACAATGGAGAAGGGGTCCTTTCTCCCCACAACCCCACCGGCATTTGTTATTGGTTCATTTCTCAATAGCAGCCATTCTTTCCGGGGTGAGGTGGAATCTCAGTGTTGTTTTCACCTACATCTCTTGAATGACCAGTGATGTGGAACATTTTTTCATATATTTATTTGCTGCTTTTACTTCTTTGAGAAATGTCTATTCATTTCAGTTGCCCATTTTTGAATTAGGTCTTTAATCATTTCTTACAGTTTGCAGATAAGTACATATGCAATATCATACCATCTATATTTATTGATACCCTTTAAGTAAACTTTAATGTTTATAATAGTGAATAATTATTTTTTATAGTTTTTAGTCTATTGATTTTTACACTATAATTACTATTTCTATTATTGCCTTGCTGTGAATTTTCTTATTTATGAGTTGGTGAACAAGCAAAATTAATTTTTGTTAATTAAAGAAAATGTTTTCTTATATTCATGAAAAATGTTAAGAACCTTAAATTCCATTCGCCAAATAAATTTGTAAATAAAAAATAAGTGGGAGTGTTTATTATATCTCATATGGATGCAGAAATTGCCAAGTTTCAATAATGAACTTGTTACTTATTTTTCCATAATTCAGAGGGGTTACGCCTGACTTTTTGTTGCTATTAACAACTTGATCTTCTTAATTAATATCAATAATAGCAATTATTAATCTAACTTGCTTTGGATTTTAATTTAAGCCATTTAATTTAAACTCATCTTTTTCATTATAAATAACAAAGATAAGAAATAAAATATATTAAATGATTAATTAAATGTTTTAATTAAAATGTTACTGCCTCCTTACAAACCCACTTACCAATTCTAATAAGCAAAAGTCACTATAGCTTCTGGAGTTACCATAGTTTATTTATTTAAAAGATATCTGTATATCAAGAATTAAAATTTATCAAACTTGAAAATAGTACAGATTATATTATTTAAAAATAATACCCTGCTTTTTAACATTAATATTCAAAATATATATTTTTCAACTTTAGGACAAGAAAATTAAAATTTATGCAGCTGTTTAGTCCAATTTAAATATTAATATGCTTTGTTCTTTAAATAATATTAATTTCACTTAAAAAATTTGCTACTGAAGAAATTTCCCTTGTTAATTTAAAATTAATTTTCAAATTTATTTTCTTAATTTCAGGGAATACATTTACACTAAGTATAATTTTGGATATGTATAATGCTTAATATGTGCTATTTTTCTGAAGTATCAGTGATTTCTTTTGCGGGGAGGTATTGAACTCAGGTCCTTGCCTTTTGAGGCAGGTAGCTGAACCACTGAGCTAAATTCCAGGCTCAGTGATTTCTTAAATATTTATTGTTCATATTTTGTACTTCAGGTATACTTGTAAGCAAACTAAAAATGTGTATCTGTGGTTTTTGTTCTGTTGAAGTTTCTTCATGGAGAGACAGGATATATATAACACATAAAAAGTAGATATTGAACAAGTAGATTATCGTTAGCAGAACAGGGCTACTATGAGTTTTTATGAAACAGAAATTGAGTGTAGGATGCACAGTGCATGCATATAAATTTTGGTAGGGAGAAGAAGATTCCTGAGTGGAGAATTTAAACGAACGAAGGAATGAGCGAGCCGTGCAGATATGTAGGAGATGAGTGTCCACATATAGGAACAACGGATCTGAAAGCCTTGAAGTAGAAGTATCACAGGAACAAGCAAGTTGTGCGTGGAAACTGAAAAAAAGCTGATGGGGTTTAGTGGAAGTAATAGAGATGTGAGAGGTGACAGAATAGAGCACTTGCAGGGATAATTCATTTAAGAATTCAGCTTTTAGTCTGAGTTTTTAAACAGAGAGGTTACATGATCGGACTTAGGTCTCATCTCTTTGTAAATGAGCCAGCATGGGAGTAGTGGGACCAGCCAGAAAGTATGATAATTATCCAGGCGAAAATGGATGGTGATTTACAAAAGACAGCAGTGTAGTTATTGAGAAGAGATCAGACGGACAACAGTACAAATGTTCA